CAGCATCCAACATTATCTAACCAAAGGAGCCTTCAGGCATTCAGTTGCTTTCAGCCACACAGTCAAAAATTGCTGTAATTTCTATTTCGCTTATATTTCCCATATTCCCCAACTCTTTTGCTAGGCACCGGTATTGATCAGGTTTCCCAAATTCATCCTCCCCAACAGGAGGGGGCACTCACAGCTCTGGATCATCTCGGTGAGCGTCTCCACCGCGGCTTTCTCGGCGCTCTCGAATCCGGCCTCGGTGAGCAGCGAGCTGACCACGACCTGCAGCGTGCGGCGCCGCGCCAGGTGATAATTGTCGGCAGGAGTGCCGGCCTGCTTGCTGCCAGCCCGCTGGAACGTCGGGAATACCGGTCAGGGAATGGGGACAGGGAGGGTGGAACACTGAGAGAGGGGAGAGGGATGGAATGGGATGGGATGGGATCCATGAAACGGGATCCATGAAATGGGATGAGATGGGATCCATGGGATGGGATGGGATCCATGGGATGGGATGGGATGGGATCCATGGGATAGGATCCATGGAATGGGTTCCATGGGATGGGATGGGACAGGATCTGTGGGACGGGATTTATGGGATGGGATGGGATGCAATCCATGGGACCCATGGGACGGGATGGGATCCATGGAATGAGATGGGATGGGATCCATGGAATGGGTTCCATGGGATGGGATAGGATCAATGGGATCTATGGGATGGGATGGGATCCATGGAATGAGATCCATGGAATGGGTTCCATGAGATGGGATGGGATCAACGGGATCTATGGGATGAGATGGCATGGGATTCTGGGATAGGATCTATAGGATGGGACCTATGGGAGAGGATGGGATCCATAGGATGGGATGGGATGGGATGGTATCCATAGGATGGGATCTATGGGATGGGATCCTTGGGATCCATGGGATGGGATGGGATCTGTGGGATACGATCTAGGGTATGGGATCCACGGGATGGGATGGGGCAAGGAGCAGGTAACAGAAGGGCTTGAGAGCAAGGACTGGGAAGGGTCTGGAAGCAAATAACGGGAAGGGTTTGGAAGCAGGTGGAAGGGTCTGGGAGCAGTGATTGAGAAGGGCTGGGAAGAATCTGGGAGTAGGGACTGGAAAGAGTCTGGGAGCAAATAATGGGACAGAGCAGAGAATGGGAAGACTCTGGGACCAGATAATGTGAAGGGTGTGGGAGCAGTTGGAAGGGTTTAGGAGAAGGATTGGGAAGGGTTTGGGAGCAGGGATCGGGAAGGGTCACAGAGCAGATGGAAGGGACATGGAGCAAGGATGGGAAAAGGTTTGGGAGCAGTAGTGGGGTCATAGAGCAGGAACACAGGTACACACACACACATGCGTCCTACACACTCATATACACATCTGGGCATATATATATATTTATATATATATTTATACAGATGTATACATATACATATATTTACACACCTCTCCTTATACAACCTCCCCAGACACTTTTGGGACGCGGCCCCTTTAAGGACCTCCCCCGCAAGCCCCGCCCCGTCCCCTGGCAGCCAGTTGGAGCGCACCATCCTCAGCCAATCAAACCCCGCCTACTCCCAGGCCCTCCAGCCAATCAGCGCCTCCCTCCTCCGCCCGCCGCCTCCGCGCTCCGCGGCCTGGCCGCGGCCGCCTCCGCGCCCCGCAGGGATCGGGCGCTGCCGCCCAGCCTGGCCCGGCCGGGGACCCGCCCTCGCAGCCCCGCGCCCCGGGGATTAGGTGCCGTTACCGTGCCGGAGCCCCCGGACGCTGTGTCAGCCATCTTGGAGCCATATGGAGCTGTCCGCATGCGCCAGGTGCGGCGGGGCGGTGGACGGGAGCGCGGGGTATCATGGGAGTTGTAGGCAGGTGGAGCGAGGCGCGGAGCACTGTGGGAGTTGTGGTGCGGAGGAGGGGCAACATCTGTATCCGCCCACCCCCCATCCCACCTCCCCCGCACATCTGGATCGCGAGGAGGAGGAACGAGAGGAGAATTATGGTCCCGTCCATCCCAAACCGTTCTGGGGTTCCACAGGACAAAGGGACCACGAGGATTTTGCCAAGCTGGCAAAGTCTCCATGGACATCGTGATTGATGACATCCCTGGAGCTCGTTAATTCCGGGATGTCCTTGAGCCGGGGATGAACCTTTGCCTGCTCCACTGATTAACTCTCCTTTCATGCTGATTAGGCTCGAAAGTGCACAAAGACCCGACCTCAAAGGACATCCTGATTTGAGACCATCGTGATTTATCCCACATTTTGCAACGAGCCCTCAAACCTCCTGTCACAGCACCGTGTTCCCACTTGGAAATAATTTCCTAAAACCCCTCCAAAAGCCCCGTAACCATGGGAACCTCGAGGGTTTCCTGTTGTACCCTGAGCTGTCCCCAAGGTGTTCGGGGAGGACAGAACAGGAAACCACCAGGCTGCAGCTCCCAGCCTTGGCTTCCTGCTCTAGCCCACGTGTGGGGCAGGCAGAACCTCTGAGAACCAATTGCTGAGCGTTCAGAGAGAGGGGGAAAGTGTTGTAAACAACAGCTGCCATGCCGGGAATTCATGGTCTTGGGGCTGGATGGAAACACAGCTCCCACACGCTGCTGCTTTCACCTGCAGGAGCAGCAAAATTCATGGAAAAGCAGGGAAATGAGGAGCACAGGGAGCTGGATTGTTCCAAGTTGAAGTGAAGGAAACTTCTGGAGCTGCAAAGGTAGGAGGCAAAGTGATTTCAGTGTGTGACATCTCCTGCCTCGTGTGCTCAGGGACAGGGGGATTGTGCCAAAGATGTGGAATGTTCCTTGGGATGGATCTCTGGGGTGTGGCTGTGGTTTCCCTGTGGGAATTCCCCGCTGTTCTGCCAGGCTGAGCTGTCACTTTGTCACCTGAGCCAGGCTCTGTGTGTTTGGGGGACACGAGGGTCACCCCAGCGTGGGCTCAGGACATGGGGAGCTGTTCCCAAACTGGTTTGGAAACGGAAAAAACCAATCCCAGCCTGCTTTGGGTGGGAAAGGACCTTAAAGCTCCATGGCAGGGACACCTCCCACCATCCCAGGTGGCTCCAGCCTGGCCTTGGACACTCCCAGGGATCCAGGGGCTCTGCAGTGGCTTTGGGAGCTGCTGGAACAGGGGGGAACCAGCACAGTCCAACCTTGGCTGAATGTCCAGGAATGGCACCGGGAGCTGCTGAGACACCTGGAATTCTGTGTCCTCATGGCAAGAGGGACATGGAGGGGCTGGAGAG